GAATTTATCTATTAGCGACAATATTTACGGAAAGGATGGGCATATTATTCATTCTCATGCCAGGAAACAGGATCGATTGGCAGACCAATTCAAGTGGCCTTCAACCATACTTTACTACCCACGATCTCCTATCAACCTGAATGACAAATTGACTTAGGACCTACGATTCTTAATGAGGTTGAAAATACTATGAGCAATCTAAATAGATGGAGGCCAGCAGGACCTGATAGGTTACCTCTGAGATTTTTAAGAATGGTGACCCAGTTTTAGCAGCTGTATTGACTATCTTAGGTAGAATCTGAGAATCGGACGTAACATCGTCTGACTGATCTCAATCACTGATTGTTCAGTCTATAGAAAATGAAAGAGGCCCTCCTACGACAATCACAGGTGGATCAGTTTAACTAATAGTGTCCAGGATATTAGCTTCAATAATACTTCGACGCATATCTAGGGATCGTGAAGAGCAGACTCGAGAAAACCAGGTTGGTATCAGACTTGCACATGGATGTGTAGACCAAATATTCACACTTCATCAGGTCCCAGGACATAGTTACACATTTAGACGTCCTATAAAGTTATGTTCTTTGACCTTAAGGTAGCTTTTGTCACTGAAAACTAGACTGAGCTATGTTAGTAGGTGTAGACTACCGATTCGGGTCCATGAGACGATAGTAACCGATGGTTAGACTTCGAAAGACATGGCTCGAAATTGTTTGCGATTGCCCAGGTTCATGCATTCTGTCGTCCAGAATCCTAGTATTCTGAATTTTCCATAATCTTTATTCTCTTTTTAAACTTATTTCACTGGATTACACCTCTTGAATAATATCTACGAACCCTAATCGTTTCCATCATCGCTTATATTGTTACTAACTCTACTACTATGGGATTTGAACTGGCGATTCCATCTTTTTGGGCTAATGTGGTATGGCAACTTGAACTGATATGCGTACGTACGAAGTTCTACGTTGAAGCTGACTGACTGACGGATCTAGCTTCAATCAATCCACGAAGCAGTTGAAGTCAACTGGACTAGTGTGAGGCAGTGGGTAATGGTCGTGCATTATTGTGGACCGACTCAAGTTAGAAGTGTTTTCAATGAAGCTCATCAATCGCTGCAACCCTAAATGGACAAGAGCTACATATAGGTAAAACTATGATACGTTTCATTACTATAGTCTGACGCTGACTGATCATCAAACGATATACAGGAAAAAACGATATGAAGATTACAAACTGATTTGCCTAATATCTTTCAGCTGCCTACAATTACATCGTCTTTTGATGGTTAAAATTATTTTTAACGTATTTAGTTTGATTTGTATTCAAACATTAATTTCGATAACTGTTTTCACAAATATGTTGTTTACATAACCATGCTACTTATTAGTAACCGGCATTTAAGTAACAGTTTTTTCAACATGGTTTGATTTGTCATCCAGTAATCAGTGATGTGACGAAATGTAGTTAACGTGATAGAAAATATTATCAGAAGTAACAATGAATTAACTATCAGTGAGTCCATTAGAATGACTAAAATGAATTAGCCAACCAATTACGAAACTGTCCTTTTTAACTACATGACAGATTATGCCCAAGTGTATTTGGATTCCAAAATTTCATCACAGATAATATAACATACGTAAAACAAGATAAACTCATTGATTTCTACTCAAAACAATATTACTTAAAGGTGGTAGATTTCATTTTTTCCACTCAGTAGAGAACAAAATAACGAAAAAAGAAACTACTTCAAATCATCTTTATGAGAAATCGTTTTGAAAATATATTCTACGACACATCGGCACTATTTGGGGAACAAATGACAACCAAGCTGTTTTGTTCGAATTCGAAAATCGTCAGTAGTACACAACAACCATATCGAAATGGACCGAACCCAAGACATCAAGGACTCGCTATAACGACAATAACTGTAGACCGTTAAGTCGGTACTTGATAACTCACATTTCGAAACGCAGTAGGTAATGTGATTGCGACCCAATCTTACTGCTTGATTAATTACCACTTCTAAGTTAAACGGAACAGGACTGAACAGTTGTGGACAGTATAGCACTCAGTATCATGTCACACCTACGTGAGTTATTCTGGCTATTGAATAGACCAATTAAATCATTCATTTTAAGTCGGTAGCCACACATTTTGAACATATCAGTTATTTACTTATTCGCAGTTTATTTTTCTGTTTTACCATAAATATCAAAGCATGCCTTATGAAATCAAGTGGGAACATCTGTCTTTTCTGCTTTTCACCTGTCTATCTGAGCAAACAAATTCCTGGGATAAATTCTCCCAAATTATTTCGTGTTCGGTTTTTTATTACGCTGAATACTACAATAGCATGAATGTTAACTATGCATGGCATCAAGGATCGATGTTCCATTCTGCTCACTGTCTGTTGGTGAATACGATTGGTTTAAATATGTTGTTTGGAGTTTTTAGCGGTAACCTCATCTAAGATGCCAGCATGATTACTTCGGGGCAATAAACAATTAGTAAAGAATAATTTACATCACTAAAAAACATCTGTTGACTATCGTGGTTTGTTTGTCAACTTTAAGGCTCTTTGGAACATGATTATGATTATTTTAATTACTACTGGAGTTTAACGCGTACCAGAAGACCAGTACATAATTCTGCCGAATTCTCTAAAAACAAGAAGGCTCTTTAGTACTAATACTATTATATGTCAGCATTCCAACTATTAGTCCTATTAACAGAGCATAAACTTGCTGAATACCTATGTCATTTGACAACTAATCATGTAAAAATACTTCTATAACATAGGCCGTAAGTGATCAGTTATGAAGTTTAGTAAAGGAGTGCTATCTGTGAAACAACTTCACTGTATCTAATAGTAGCAATCGGTAAAAAACAGTGGTCAAGATATGATACATCAGGAGGTATCAAATCTAGGCCTAACGTTTATTGTTAGTCACTAGAAAGGTATATTTCTTTAACATTCTAATAAATAGACCATATAAACAATTCGAAACTAGTCAATATGGATGCGCTACAGAAAAATAAGTTGTATTCATTTACAAGAAAACAAATCGTTTCGATGGAAATTTTTTCAGATATTAATTATCAGCTATACAACATAATTATAAGTTGGCTTTATTCGAAGTGAAACTTACATTAAACTTCATAATTATCATTGTTTTATTGGGAATTTTATAATGTATAGTGGCAAATGCAAATCTTCTTTCTGACGTGAGTTCATATACGTATATATATATATAATGGAATTTGGAACAAAAAAGCAACAGATTATACATATATATATGAACGGTACAATAAATCTTTACATCAGCAGAAGAATATAAATGCGTTATAGACAAACATATTGATGATAATAAAGAATAAACAAGATGAGAATCTAAAAGAATATGATTATTATAAATAGTTACTAAGAAAAATACATTACAAAGAGATAGGAATGAATCGATCGATAATAAGTGGTAGTAGTACTGGTGGTAAAAAGGCGCTACACAATAAGTCTACAATAAAATATTTCAACTGAATTGACACTTAAACAAAAGGGATCGTCAAGAAAGATTGTATTTGGACATTTATTAATTATATTTAAAGCGAAAACGATAATAATGCGCATGTAATTTATATATATATATATATTCATGCTAATATCGATTTAAAATTCACTCGCTAATTCATTATATAAGGAAGCAATAATGCATTATGGGAAATAAATTCAAATCCAAAATCTTTATGATAGAGAAACCATGGGAAAGTATCTAACAGCAAACAGTAATTACATCTAGTAATAAAAATCAACAACAAATCGAATAAGATCAAGAAGCCACTACTAGTAAATGAAATATGCACAATAAGAAACAAAATAATCTTTAACTAAGAAATAGTAATTTACACAATTATATATATGTATATATATATTCACTGAATAGATTGTAATGACAAAAAAAAATGCATAACCTGTCTAATAAACGAAAACAAGAAGTGAATTTTCGTGCCCCCATTCTAAAAACAGCAACAACAACAACATAATGATTGCATCCAGTGCGTACGTGTGTATGTACACGTAATTTCATTTAGGAAAATTGGAAAAAAAAAACAAAACAAATGGTTTCAATTGTACAACTGACTAATAATCTGCATAGTCTATATATCATCTATTTATGCAGATTAGAATAGTTAACAATAATAATAATAATGTTACTACTAGTGATAATAACAAACTCGTAATGCTCTCCCATACGAGTTTTTTTTTTTATATTCTCATCACTTTCCTTTGCTCTTCTTTTTTTGTTAATACATCATTACAGAAAAGGCTTAAACAAAATAAAACAAGAGATGATTTCGTGACTGGTAAAAAAAAAGTGAAAAAAAGGAGTAAACAGCCTGGAAGAAAGAGATAATGAATTTGAGAGCTGGTAGTAAACAATACAGAAAATCAATAAACATCAATGTATGAAGGAAATGCATTATTGCTAACTTGAAGAAGAAAAAAAACTACGACACTCGTCTAACTATATCTATATCTACTGATAGAGAAATATGAGTATGCGGGTCAAAACACAAACTAACAAATGCATGGAAAGGGAATAGAATGTACGCATATATATATATATATATATATATATATATATATATATAAACTTACCAGCAGAAGTGCTGAGGTATAGTTACAATAAATATTTCATTCCCTAACTGTCTAGTTTGAAAAAAAAACGCTTGATTATAATCGGCAAATTTTGCATGATATTCTTATTAGTACGGAGAAAGTAGATTTACTAATGCTACTAAAGAAATAATAATACAAACTAAAATTAACAGAAGTGGAAGTATGGAAATAAATAAAGATAAGAATTTAAATATATTACCCAATTTGTTTATTATAAAATATCAAGAGATAAAAAGGTTACCTAATAATAATAATTATTATTATTATTATAGTTATAATAATCTATCACATATTAATAGAAATTCAGAAACTGTTGCTAAGATGTTCGACATTGAGTTGCATATTTTGAATAATAAGACAAACAAAATGATGAATGTGATATTACAGAAGTTGGTGAATGATTCAATTGTTGTTGACTCGGGGAATTCGATACATAATGAATATTTTCATCAGTATTATTACGATTATTATTATTATTATTATTATTGGTATTATATGTTGGAGGATTATTTGTAATAGTCATTGTCGTACAGTGATAATGCAATAAGACAAAAATCGAAGTGAAATTTTGAAATAATAAAACTTGAATATTATGCAGCCAAATGAAAAAATGAAAACTGAACGATATTAAAAGTATGATTTTGAAAGAAATGTTATCTATTTTATGCAAACTAGAAGATAATGAATGAGGTGATGAATGATAATCATAGAGATTTGTGGAATTATTTCTATTCAATTGATTGACAATGTTATCATTGAAATATATTGATGACATTGGATTGACAACAACAGAAGGTAATTCTGTTATTAATGTTGAATGATCCACAGACAAAAATTGATGAACACAACGATCACGTAAATGATTGCATGCGACAGTATTATTAGATTTGTCAAAATCAGATGAATATGATGAGAGAATATCAGTTTGAATAGAATATAGTTTCTTATCAGGAATGGATATAGAATGGAGAATTGAATCTGATATACCAAAACAACACTCAGATTCACAAGTATGCATATCCCAATTAATAGCTTGATATCTTGAACTGTGATGATAATGACTTTCTATATGATAATGAAACAGAATGAAGCATAAATAATGATTAAATTAGTGTTCAATAAAATGTTTTTAAAGTAAATAAAAATTCTATTTAAAACAATAATTTTGTTGAATAAATCATATCATGGGCTAGTATATTATGTTGAGATAAGAGTGATGTTGGAACTTAAGAGAAAATGTAAGTTACAGCTAGATTTAAATTAAAAGCCTTCAAGTGACTAGTCCGGTAGTATATATCAGTTAATTCATTTATTTAGTTCTCGACTTCAGTTATCGAATACTGTTTGTTTCGTTACACAGGTTATAGGGAATTGTTTTTCCAACAGTTATAAGATACAAATGGCATAGGTCAATAAGTTTTTTATACAAATACCCTAGAGAATCAAGGTATTTAGTAACAAACAAGCTAAAATGGTTTACTGAGTCTTCAATACAGTAAATGAAACAACAAAACAAAAATACTATGTTAATGAAACTTGCGCAGTCATTGCAAATAGTAACTTATTATATTAGGAGTGACGGCTTTGAAATTCACGAAGAGATTTGAATTCCTTACGGTATATTTGATAATGTTGAATAAATATGCCTAACCAACGACTGCATCGACGAGCAATGTTTTGTAGTGTAGGTGTAAGGTGGAAGAAAGCTAGGAGTAGCCGGACAAAAACATGGCACAAATCTATGAATTCACTGACAAGCGGACTGGGCCATGCTGCTATGTGTAGACTACTTGGTTGGGGTGCGTTAGACAACAGTAACGACATGGCTGAAAATCATTTGCAATGGTGCAGGTTCATCCATTCTTAGTCTTCTCTCGTGATCTTCTGAGCTCAGGACCTCTTTTTATCTTTTTTTAAACTTACTTCTCCGGGATATACTTCTCGAATCATATTTTCGAACCCTAATATTCGCCATAATGGCTGATATTTCTACTACTTGTACTACTATGGTATTGGAATTGAGAATTTCATCTCGCTATGACAATTGGGGCATGGCAACTTGGACTGATGCATGTACGTACGAAGTTCTACATTCTAAATGACTGACCGACCAACATCTTACAGCTCATCATCGTTTAACGAAACGTAAATAGAAAGAGTAATCATTACACTTTAGTTAGTATTATTCTACTAAAATCAGTACGATATATGATTCAAGACAAAAATATGGTGGCTCGAATATGTTCAACAAGAAAGGTACTTCAAAACTACATGTTCTCAGAGGTACAACCTGACGAAAAGTGTAAATCCACACCTATTGGACTATGGGAAAGCAAAATATCTAGAAATACCAAATCACATTTTTATTCGGAGCCGTATCAACGTACGGGGGGCGGGAAAAGGAAACAAGCACTGATAAAAACTGAGATGTCATTTATAAAACGCGAACAAATGTAACAGTAGTAGACTTCTTAGTACTAGCTTTAATAATTCAACCTCAAAGGTATGTGGTAGTTGGAAAATTTTATGCTTGACTAATGTATTTCTTGTGTAAAAAGGGCATCACTGAATGTAAGATTTCAAGGAAAGAAGGAAAATCCAAAATAAAAACACTCAATAAAAGTTGTAAATAATGATTTGAGTGATAAAAATAGTAATCTGAATCATAGTAACTATTGAGATCATTGGTGGCAACTTATATTTTGTTATATTGGAAAATTTAGATTAATTCTTCATGTTTTAATATTCTCGAACTATTTTTTAAACCCAGTTCGGCCTCTGATCTTAGTTGATTGTAGTAATTCCCAACTTGGTTTTTATGTTACGCTAGTTCAGAGAAGAGCAATTCGAATCAACTTAACAGCATGTTGATGGGAGAAAACTAGTGGGCAGCCTATGCTCGATTGGGGGTAACAGGCGTATGATATTTCAGTCAATTGATATCATAGGAAAAAAGAATCCAAACGATTTCGAGTTAGAGAGTTTATCTAAAAAAAGTTTTGTTCATATATTTATGAAAAGGAAAGGCAACATTCTTGCAAGTTTAGACAGCATTTAAAAATAGATTAGGTTGATAGTAATTGATTCAGAAATCAAATAGAACATAGATATCAATTGTTTGTGCTATACTGAACGATATTAAGCTGAAAAATATAATAATTAAATCGCTTCAGTAATAAGAAACTCGATGAGAAACTACGTATTCAGGCAAATAGGGGAATGGTTAATAATATTAGGTATAAAATCGTTTCATTCACTTAAGTTAGTCACAAAATTCGAAAAACAAACAAATAATTTTAAGTAATCTTTTCATTAAATCGAGAAAAGTTTCCAATAAAGTCACTAAAGAGTGAAAAGCAACATTTTTTCTTATTGAAGTGAACTAATTCATTTGTTAAGTCTAACAATCTCCTAAAAGGATTATTCGGTATCTTTATACACATAATTGTAACTTAGTGTTTATTTCTTACATATATTCTCGTAAGTAGGTCAAAACAGTAGGTAGAAAATTAAATAGGAAAGTTAATTAATTATGTCGATATATATATATATATATATATATATATATACTAAGGTTTGGCAATGTCACTTTTATTTCGCCCACACTTAATGAGTTGATTTTCTTCGATAGTAATTTTCAAATAAACATGAATAGTATACACATAATCGGTCTTCAACAATGCGTATTCATTCAGTCAGATAAAGAATAGTAGGTCTAATAATAACGAGAAAATAAATAACATTTAACTGAATGAAAGATTTACCGAGTTCATTTAATGATCAAATAAGACATTGGATTTTATTTTTATGAACGCACAAAAAAAATAGATTTAGTGATATATATATATATATATATATTACCAGAAATTGATCTTTCATATAAACTCTAGTCTCCCTGATTAATTTGATTTGTCTGTTCTTCTTTTTTTCGCTCTCTCTCTCTTTCCCTTTTTATGCTTTAGTTATATTGAGAATAAAAATAGGAATAGTTGTTGTTGTTGTTTTGTTCGCTTATTTTATAGTCTTAATTAGAACTGATTCACATTTAAATGGTTTTCATAAAAAGAAAATATTATATCATGTTAGTTTGACCATTTTAACGGAATAATTAATACGATAAAAACTTTAGTAGATAATTTTATATAAAGATTTATATACTTAATAAATTCATTAGTCTGTATGATAGTTCACACGTCAAAGTCCTAGTAAATAATTCAAGTTTTTCCAAATATTATCATGTGTAGATATTTTAAGAGATACAAGTAGATTCCATGCAAAATCTAACAGTTTTTTAATCAAGCACAAATTTACATTGAATACTATTTTGACAAACTAATCACAATTATTGTAATAAAAAAATAGAATTAAAAAGAATTTTAAAAATCTTAGTTTAATAATCATTAGTGCACAAATGATTGTTTGATTATTGTGAAATGTTATCGCTTTTTATTGCAATATTGGTTATCAACGAAACACCATATAATAATATATTTTATGTTAACTATGTGTCATAGTTAACATAGTTATGTGTTATGTTATTCTTTGAAAAATAATTAATTGATGATTAATAGTTCTGTTTTTTGATATTATTCAAGTTTTGTGTGATCATTAATTGACTGTCAGATAATAGTTTAGTCGATAAATAATTCCCAGTTTTCTAGTACAGTTTATTTCTCTGTAACTTAGATGTTCCTATTCAGTATTAGAATATAAATTTTTTGAGGTTTTCATCCATCTATGATATTTATGAGTACTAACCTGTCTACTAAATTTCGATCAAAGAACTTCGCTCAGTCTGACATTATCGAGAACAAAATATAAGCCAAAGAGAGGTTAGAATAAAAGTATAGTGGTAAAAACACAAAGGTTTTATATAAATTTTATGACGAGCTTTTAGATTCATTCTCCACCATCGACTAGTTACAAAACTTATACTTTTCCGACACTAGTCGATGGTGGTAGCCAAAAAATGTTGATTGTTGACATATCTTCGCTAGTATTCGCAACCATGCAGTTTTTTACTGATTATCTTTCCTACTGGTTTAGATTTTCTAAAATTTTCTTTATTGACCCTTCCAAACATGAGCTAAAAAATTGAACTTATGAGATGTTATACAGTTTACTAAGACAGTACTTCTACCAATTGAATTGTTTAGTATAATTGTTAAATTATATATATATATATATATATATATATATATATATATATATATATATATATATATAAAGTATAATATAATATAATCATATCTAACTAATCAGAATTTTATAATCTTAAGTTGCGTATTTGGATACAAGGTCCATGGATAGTCTGCCAAAGGGGTTCAGAATGTTTACAGTGGATAGCTTTGGGGAAATGTTACAAACTTATGATCATAGATTACAAGTGAAATGATCTATCAGAATTCAAGTGTAGTTGGGTATATATCGAGAAAACTAGTATCTATAAACCTACTTTAATAATGCACTTATTCTAGCGATTGTCGCTTTTATCATTTATAAATTTATAGGAAGGTGCCAATTAAAATCAACAAATTACCATACGAATCTCCAAGTTTCTCAGCTCACTTGAAAGGTATGTTCAATAAGAGACGCCACTCGAACGAAGTGGAAAACTTTAGGGTTGCCTCACAAACTGCTCAAACATATTTGTTTCATGGCTTAAGTTTAAGGAAATGAATGAATTGCTCTTTTATGATACTCTACATAAACAAAAACACCTATAGTCTTTTTATCATTATGATTATCATCATCATCATCATCACATTATCAGTACAAATGAATAAAAAGGAATTGGAAATATTCATCTAGATATAATTCTAAGACTTTAAGACAACAACCATATTCTCCATTAAGTGATAATAATAATAATAATAATAGTATTATGACCAAATTAAAGTTAGTCTATCGTAGTTGTGGAAAAAACAAATACTTAATGTACATATATGAATGTGAAGGGGATATAATAACAATAATTAGCTATCATTAAAAAATAATCTCGTTTAGCTTGATGATATGTACAAGAATTTCTGAACATACATTAACAGATAACGAATTAACAGACAGGAAGCAGATGAAGAAAACGAAGAGCGAAAAAAATCAATATGCTTTTATTTACTTAGTTATGTAGGACGAGAAAGAGTAGGAAAAGAAGGCCCAAACAACATACAAGCAGTGAATAATATGCATATATATATATATATATATATATATATATATATATATATATGGAAGCTACGATCAAATATTTCACAATACAACAAAAGAAAAGAGTACTGAGGATCACAGATGAATTGCTAAGGATGCAAACTATACACTTGATCAATAGGTAATGAAGAGCTAACCTAAAATAAATATGCTAGTTTATAATTTAAACAACATTTTATTTAGTAAACAGGAAATTCCAGTGAGTTGGTTGAAACAATTTAGGGCGACTTTAAACAACATAGAAAAGTCAAACATCATAGTAAGAGAAAATGTTGTTTTAGGATGTCATGATTCCAAACATCGTTTAGTGGAATATGAAAATGGATAAAATATTCTTATAAACCAGAACGTGAGATCTGTATCAACACAGGGATTTAATTGGAGACTAAGTTGCGAAAATTGTTCTCGACGTACAGTCGAGCACAGAACTGTTAGATTGCGTCACAAACACGGAACCTGGAATCATCAACAAGGGTCATAAGAACAAGGAAATCCAAGAAATACAACGTGATAGATTCATGGTGCATACCTTGCATAAACATTACAAATATGGAGAATGATATCACCAAACGAGGACTTATTAAGTTGATCAAAATCTATGAGTAGGTATTGAGAATATTTTTTATTAGGAGTGCAAATAATGTTAAAAAATCACGAGACCAATTGGTCAGAGAAGGTATCTACTATGACCAACGAGATGATCAGATGACAACTCAATGATTAAAACCACACGGAAATGCAAAAAAGAACAGGAGACTGAACATTAGAAGAGAATTTAAGCTTCAGAAATCAATTTAAACGAAATAGGCTAAGAGTGATAAATAGACATTTAAATTGTTTAAACAAGAGCGAAACAATGGATATAAATTTATCACAATATCTTGACTAATCATATTATTGTATAATTATTATCTAGAAGTAATATAATTCTCCAAAATGAATAGGAAAGCTGACAGGGTTCATTAAAAATCAAGGCTAATGAAGCAATATAAATCCACATAGAACTTCTAGTCACTTCATACCCTAACAACTCCGTACACAGTGAACCAAAATGATCAATAGGAATTGTATTTCTGATCAAAAAAGACTCAGCAATTATAATGCAAAATCAATTATTAAAATAACATCAAACGAGCAAGCTTTTAGTCAGATAGGATTAGATCAAGGTATATACCAAAACCATGAAAAATAAAGAATGGTATCGTAAATGTATTTGCATAGGCGATTGTCAATAACTTCTGATAATACACATGCTTTTAGATCTTAGTAAGGATAATTCTGAAAGAAGAATGGACAATGCTAAGAGTTACACCCTAATGGTACTGAGTAATAACGGCAACATTGCTTGTCATCAGTACTTTTCATATACAGGGGTCTGTGAGAACTTATTGTTTAAAATTAGGGTTTTAAAACTTAAGCAAATCAACACCCGATAACTAAATATTAAGAGGGAATATTTTATCACTTCGATTCTGTAGGAAACACTAACCATTATGTGAAGCTAACGGAAAATGTTTTCATGGTATATTTTATGGAAGAGTGAGTGACGGCGAAAACTTTTTAGCTCAGTAACGAGTATAAAAAAAGGAAAACACATTCAATTATGGAGGGTGAAAAGAATAATTATTAGTAAATATAAATAGTATAAACAAATATGTACTTACCATCACACAAAAATGCAGGTTCACCACCATTTGAGGTAGGATCAGAGGGGTTTAAATATGGACAAACAGTCTCAACCTGAGTACACCATGAAATACAGGGTTTTACAATCTCCAGTCGAAACAGTGATTGAGAATCTACCTGGAATTCTGTAGGATTAGATTTTCGATACATATTCCTGCGTTCTGATATAGATTCTACAGCAGATAGATCAAATGATTGTGGCACTGACGAGCTATTTAGAAAATAATTACTCTTTTGAGGGAGACGTAATTTGGAACTAGGCGGTAGATTTGAAATTTTCGCAGGAACGTGAAGTTGATTAACTTCAACATCAATAATACCAGAAGCCGGAGATTTTGAATGTGAAGATATAATTGAATCTGAATCATCAAGTGGATAATACAATGGGAATTCTGTTGCACAAAACCAACTTCTATAAGCTTCCTATAAAAAGAAGAAAGTATATTTATAATTAAGTACTTGAATGAAACTGTAAAACGGTATCATTCAATAGATACTGATTTTCCCGTAATTACCTGCGACATATTGTAACACTAAATATATTCCCATTTTTCCGGAAAGGAAATTTTTAGATCTGGTCTTTATAAAACATAAACGATTAATGAATTGATTTTAGTTATTGAAAACACACATGACTTTCAATACCTTTCAATGTTTCTTTCCTGGAAGCTTGTATGTTAGTCGAGAGTTTTTCATTGCATTCAGTCTCACAGTAAGCATTTCATCAATGATTTGCTTACGTTAATGACATCACTTACTGAATAACATCACCTTTTACTACTGATACTTTTTTATACAGTAAGTAGTTGACAGTCATGTTATTTCACGTGACGTCTACCAAATATAAATAAGTATAATTTCATTAAAAGTAACCATCCAATTACCAGTTTGTTTACGTTGGTAATTATCCACTTTTTGGAGGAGACAGTTTTATGCCCCTTAAGTGGGATAAACCCACTTCTCAGACTCCTTGATTGTCTTTTTACCTTGTCACTCCAGTTATTATTGATTCAATCAACATTCATTTGCTATATTGTCCACTGAACAGGTGATAATAAAATATACTGGTCACTATCAGTCAAGCAAATGAAAGACAATATTGATAATTTATGATGACATTAGTTTTTCAGTTTAACTATCTAAAGGTGAACATTAGCCTATGTTTCTTTATCCTATAGTAGTAACATCTCAGTATTAATAAAGCCGCTTTATACTGTAATCGTTAAAGGTTTACCACAACAGTATCGGGTACTGTTCCCGTTAACTTGATTACTTGAGTAATATGAAAGTGAATTATTGTGTTCGAGAATATTTACAGGAATTAAACAATACATAATGGATTGTAATAAGTTTATCTGCAAACATGGATGGCAGGTAGTGAAACTATTCAACAACAAATCTAAATAAATAAACGTATCGTCAGTAGGATGTATGTATACCATGAAAAACAACTACTGAGCGTCAAACAATGGCTTTTATAACATGCACTAATTTTAAACTATAAACAATCCTAATGTTAGGTAAGAATATTGTCGGCTTTGATTTTCAGATAAAAACTAATGGTACTCCAGATAAATGTAGCACAAAATTCCTAATCTCCCGCACATCACCTAATTAGGTTCTGACCGTATTAGAACCACAATGTTACAAAATATTTGGAGGAGATTAACAGCTTGATTCAGGGAGTCAGTATTTCTAATTGTTTGTTGTGGACTCATCAGTTAGTCAGTCCTTTACAACATAGAACTCCTTAAGTGCGTACATCAACTCATGTTGGCATACCACATTAGCACAGAGACACAATTGTCAATTCAATTCCCGTGGACTCGAAGATATTATTCAAGAAGTATAGTTCAGTGAGATAAATTCAGAAAGAGGAAGATAGAGATGATGAAGAATTCAGAAAACTAGAATTTCAGAGAACACAAGGAGTGGATTCACCTGCGCCATTGCAAACGGTTATCAACCATGTCATTCAAGGTCTCTAACCATCTTTTACTATCATCTCGCGTGCCCTAACCAGGTAGTCTACAACTACCGACATGACTCAGTTCACTAGTTAGTAACTTCATGGATTTCTGCCATGTTTTGGTTTGGCCGCCCCTAGCTTTCTTCCAAACTATTCCTACATAGCAAAACATAGCTCGAAGAGGCAGTCGGCTGCGAATTAAGTCTTATGATATTAGTAATTGGGTTACTGAGATGAGTTATGAGTTATTTCATCTATTTATGTCACACAGTATTATACAACGACCAATCAGTTGTCAGGCAATTAAGTCAATTATACATAGCTATCTATCATTGTGAATAGAGTACTAAAATGTGTGCTTATTATTGTTAATTTTAATCCCGTATTTAGACGCGAAACAAACACACATGGGCTATCTGTTTTTTCTCTTGCCTTTAATCACATCTTTTGAGTGTGCAGTTTGCCAAAATGAGAGTGTCGACGTGTAACTTTATAATCGGGATCTGGAAAGTATTAGTTAAAGGAGCAGTTTGTTCCCAAATTAACATATGACCCGTTTGCATAACAAAGACGTAGTTCATATTTTCTATTGAAAATAGTGAGAATTGAGATTTCGTTTAGTGGAAACGTGAACTAAATATTGAAGATTCTTCAGCAACACTGTCTTCCAAACACAAATAGACGATATGGTTTCGAAACATGGAACGAATCTGGTTAGAGACACAACAGTTACTTTGCTGTAAACAAGTCAGCAGAATATATTTTCAATACAATGATGTCACTTTTGCCTGTCTTTAAAAGTTACTAAGCGTCATAACGGCAAGTACTTTTTGGGCTGACACCGGCTGTACGTATAGCATTTCAAAGAACCTTTAATAATTATAGAATCTTAGAAAAAAGGCTCCCAATGATTGATCTGATTCATTTAATTTACTTCGTAGCCTTAAAAAGAATCGTGAAAAACTACGGTAGTTTTAAGTAATATGTTTTTTTACCAGTTAACTGTCTGTTTATACTGCTTCTGTATCTTGGAGTGTTCACATAATTTTGACACCTATCATTTTCAAATGCCATTCTGCCAATAACGTGAGCTGTATCATTCAACTTGGCCCTTAGAAATATAACTGAAAGTTTCCGTCTTATCGGGGCATGAAAATTTTATGTTTTAGACACTATGGACGAAATGATAAAAATATTGATCGGCTACTACGAAAGAATGTTAGTGAATCGTCAGACTGTTTGATATTATTCAGCAACACAAACAAGTATAACCTGTTTGATTTTCACTAGATTACTGGTAGATCTCATAGAAATGATTAGTTTAAATAATAACACGAAAAATATGCAATTCCCTGATTCTCTTAGTAATATTATTTTTCTGGAAAAACAGAAATACAATGCAAACAAAAATACTGATTATAATTAACGAGTGGATGAAGGAAATATCTAAAAACAAACCAGTTATTTCTGAGATTTTTAACGAATTTAAGGTTTTTATTCTAAATTCCACCATAAGCCCGAATTTGTGAGAAAAATTGATGTTTCACACTTTCTCCAGATTTTTTAAAATACAAAAAACAGTAAAAACAATACTAAATTGAACACCATAAACCTATATAAAGCGGTAATACATTTTGGGATATAACATTATCACATTACAAAAGAATAGATCATTACTGGAAATAGGCAAATAGAAACTGCTCTAAAGCATATTTTTATCTTGCCAAATCACAAGTTGACCTAGTATAATGAGAGAGAGAAAAAAAAAATAGGCGAATCACATAAGTTCGAGAGATTTCTTAATTTTCTCCTAGATCAATAAGAAATTCGAATTGAAAAATTACTCGTTTGCAAACAAAGTCGTCACGCAAAAATTTTCTTCCAATATTTATTTAAGTTTTGGCAAGAAAGAAAATTAAAACAGAAGGATTGCAAATAAGCATAAAATAGGAAGAAGGGATGGATGGATGAACGAGAAAATGAGTGGCATTCTGACTGACAGATTGAATGTATTTTAAATAAAGACACATTGAGAAACATTATTCTTTTTTTTTCATTCGAAATGACACATTTAAGACAATATAAGCGCAGAGGCATTAATCAAGAATCAATACAAAGAAACTATCCCGGAAAAAAAAAGAGAGAGAGAAATTTTAATAATTAACAGAAATACTATTAAATTACCGATAGAATATTTACTTCGTATAATCCGTGCATGAAATGCTTATTTTTTGCTTCAAAGCAAAACTTGGTAATCGATCAAATGCAGTTAAACAGTAACTGGTTAAAATCTATACAGAGTAGAGTAAAGAGAAGTGCTTGTCAGAGAAGTATGTATAGATAATTAACAGGTACTTATCGGTAGCCAAACGGTAAATCACATAAAAAAAGTTAAGTAAACATTACCAAATGTATGCGAATGATCAGCAAACGTTTACTGATGCAACCAATAAATCTAGAAGATGAACAATTAAAAGAACTTAATAGACGCACATAGGCAGTAAACGATATTTCGAAGAGCCGTATCGAAAAGAAAAATAAATCTACGAATGAAAACTAATTACATGATCAATTTAAAAATGACCATCAGTGTATATCACTAAAGATAAACAGCTTGTTATCAGCTTGAATAAAGAACACAATCGACCAGGAAAACCATGAACAAAACAGCACATCGATTCTGCCGATCCGATTAACAGTGTGATAAAAATTAGCGTTGATAGAAAAATCCACGTAGTGACTAAATAAGTGTCGATACTGTTGGAAAACAAGCTGAGGGTGGTATAGGCAAGATGGATATTACAGTTCATGTATTTATTTGTTAAACAACTGTCGTGGAGTAGCTAACGGTATTCAGTCTATTTTGTTGATATTGTTCTCGTTTGCTCAAATTTTCAGACCTTAGTTTTTTGCTTATGAACGCCAAAACCTCCTTAAAGCAATTTATTTCCATCAAACTTGATCTTATATACTTTTTTTAATGACTGCAGTTCTACTGCTGAACTATTCTCAACCTTCTTGTGTTCTTCTGAAGCTTTAGGAACATATGTCAAACAATGCTACTTTACTCTGATATTTAATAGTTTGTATGCTTCCCCCCCCCACACACCTCTACACTTTAGCTACCTAAATTTTGCAAGAAACTTGAATGGGGTGTCAACATCAGCTTCCTGACTCTTAGAGAAGTAAAAACCATAACTGATCTAAAGTGAGGAAGAACAGAAGACTCAGATGGACTAAACCCTGAGATTTCTAAAGATGGTGGTTCATTTTTAGCTGTTAGATTGACTGAGATGTTAGCCAGAGGTTAATCTCGACTACTGATAATTTCAGTCTATACGTTAGGACGAAACTCGTCTTGTGGTAACTACAGGAGAACTGGTTTGATTAATACCATGTCCAAAATATTAGACTCGATAATTATCCAAACTCAGAAAGACCAGGTTGGTTTCAA